TTTTCAGCTCAAACTGTCTTGTTAGAACAATATACTGAAACATTACAATAATTATGATTACAGTGATGAAGTTCATTTTACTCTTGTTGTCTTTCTCTCACAATATCTCCATCTTCACCAGTGACTGAACAGGAAAACACTGATGAGGTGATATTAACTTGCTCTGTGAGGACATATGAACGATGTCCACACACAGTGAAGTGGCTGTTTCAGGGTCAAGATGTGGATAAAGACAACAAGGACATAAAGACATCACAGTCTCTCTGCTCTGCCTCTGTGACCTTTCTGACTTCTCTCTACATTTACACATCAAGATATAAGTTATTTACGTGTGCGGTGGCTTCTGTTAACAAAGTGCAGGTGTTTCCCTTCAGATCTCAATCCTCAGGTGAGAAACCAGGTGAGAACATGTTGAGCTGTTTAAAGTCACTTCAAACTGATGAGAATAATCACCTCAAATATTTGTTTATTTTATGGATTTGAAGTTTTAATATTACATCACAACAGTTTGAGTTGTGTTCATCTGTTCAGGTGAGGACACAACAACGGCAACAACAGAATCAACAACAACAACTGAAAACAACACAACAGCAGGTACCGATGATGCTTCACCAAAAATAAAAGATAGTGACTTCATCTATTTATGTATCTTCATGTGTTTCATGAAGCTTTCAGTCACATCTCAACTGTAAAATGAGGGTGGAAATTCTAGAAGAACTATTAAGTGGGCCTGTTGTTTGTTTTGTCAAGCTAGTTGTGGACTGTGTTGATACTGGATGCAGTTTTTGTCCCAAAAGTTATTCTTGGTAAAAACTATCACTTGAATGTTTAAACACCTATACTACTCAAAAGAATTAAGGGACCACTTAAATGACACATCAGATCTTGATGAATGAATTATTCACGTTTAAAATCTTTACTGATGTACACTGTATAATTTGTTGAGAACAAAATGACACAACAACAGTCAGTGGAAACCAAAATCATCAACCCACTGAGGGCTGGATTCAAAATCACAACAAAAATCCAAGTAAAACATTGAAATCACAGGCTGATCCAACTTGTGTGAATTTTATCACATCCTCTAAGTAGTGTGTATGGCCCCCATGTGCCTGTGTATGCTCTCCTGATAACTCCTGATGAGTCAGCAGATGGTGTCCTGGGGAATCTCCTCCCAGACCTGGATCAGGCCATCACTGAGCTCCTGGACAGTCTGTGGTGGTACTCGGCGGCGTCAGATGCATCGATATATGACATTCCATAGGTGCTCAGTTGGATTTAGGTCAGGGGAACGAGAGGGCCAGACAATGGCATCAATGCCTTCAGCATCCAGGTACTGCCTACACACTCTGGTCACATGAGGCCCAGCATTGTCCTGCACCAGGTGGAACCCAGGGCCCACTGCACCACCGTAAGGTCTGACTCATCCTGGTACCTAACAGCAGTCAGGGTACTGTTGGCTATGACATGGAGGTCTGTGCGACCCTCCAAGGATATGCCTCCCCAGACCATCACTGATCCACCACCAAACCGGTCATGCTGGATGATGTCACAGGCAGCATAACATTCACCACGGCGTCTCCAGACTCTTTCACGCCTGTCACATGTGCTCAGTGTGAACCTGCTCTCATCTGTGAAGAGAACAGGGCGCTGATGGCAGACCTGCCATTTCTAGTGTTCTCTGGCATATGCCAGTTGAGCTGCACAGTGCTGGGCTGTGAGTACAGGTCCCACTAGAGGACGTCAGGCCCTCGAGCCACCCTCATGGAGTCTGTTTCTGACAGTTTGCTCAGAAAAATGCGCACCAGTAGCCTGCTGGAGGTCATTTTGTAGGGCTCTGGCAGTGCTCCTCCTGTTCCTCCTCACACAAAGGAGCAGATACTGGTCCTGCTGCTGGGCTGTTTTCCCCCTTACGGCCCTGTCCAGCTCTCCTCCTGTAACGGCTGGTCGTCTGATATCTCCTCCATGCTTGAGACTGTGCAGGGAGACACAGCAAACCTTCTTGCGACCGCACGTATGGATGTGCCATCCTGGAGCTGGACTACCTGTGCACCCTGATTGGGCTGCAGGTACCGCCTCATGCTACTAGTAGTGACAAGGACACTAGCAGAACACAAAACTAGAGAAGGATCAGTCAGGAAGGATAAGGAGAGAGCAACTGTCTGTGACCACCACATGTAAAACCATTCCCTTTTTGGGGGTAGTCTTGCTTTTGTCTCTCCATTGCACCTGTTGTCACTTTCATTTGCACCAAAGCAGCTGAAACTGATTCACAATCACTTGTGCTTCCTAAATGCACAGATTGATATCCCTGTAGTTTAACTGACTTGGTGTTACACTGTGACCATTAAGTGTTCCCTTCATTTTTTGAGCATTGTACATGTAATAAGCCACCGGGTTTTGAACAGAACAGACAGCTGCAGCCAAACTGCCTTTTATTATCTTTGCAGACTCGTGGGTGTACATCATTGTGGCTGTGGCTTTAGCAGCACTCTTAATACTCATTGTGGCAATCATCGTATGGAGGAGAACTAAAGGTGAGAGAACAGATAGAAACAAGTTTTAATGAAACTGTATTTTCTCTGTTGAAGCTTTTATTAATCTCATATTTTGTCTTTTCAGGGAACAAAACACAGATGAGTGACACTATTGTGAGTTTAAAACCTGAACTTGAGTATTTTCCAACCTGGACGCTATTTTCCCAGGTTGTTGTGTCTAAGTGACTGCTGGGAACAGCAATTTGCATCTTAAAGCAAACTGAATTTATCCACTGGTCTGGTGTAGTGGATTTGAAGATATTTTTACACTCCCATCACATTAGCTGAAAGCTGCACATATGCATTATATACATGCCACATGTGTTGTTTGTATTGTGACCACCTGACAGCATGCACACTGACATTGTTCATTGTCCAGGGGCTGACTTCAAACCCTGCAGTGACTCAGGCTGCTCCAGAACCCAGCCAGGGCACGGTGAGATCACACACCACACACCCAGTACAAAGTTACACTCAGTGAAATGGGTTTGTCCTCTGTAGGGATGTAACGATATGGAAAATTTGATATCTCGATTATAGTTTCGTTTTGAAACACTTAGCAACATAGCTGCTAATACGGCTATTAGCTACTCAGCTAGTATTAGCTCCTAAGTGTCTTAAACGGAAACGGAAAACCTAGTCGCCGTTTGGGAGGACAGATACGGCTTAAATATCCCGTATAACGTTACGTCGAGAGTTACACATTATGACAATCTTAGTAAAACCGAAGTCCCTCACACAATAACTGACGTTTGCATAGCATAGCATAACTTGCATTGGCTGTAAAGCTGTGGATGATGGTCACGGAGATGAGCCAGCAGATGTGTAGTGTTGCTACCCTTCGCAGCAACTTTCTTTCTGCATGTTCTGCACACAGGATAGTTGTCCTCCACCAGCTGTCCCTCGGCATTCTTCAGGAACCCAAAGTACGCCCAGACCTCAGACTTTGTGCGTTTAGTTGGGGGGAAAATGTCCTGAGTGCCGTTATCACCACCTTCCGCCATGTTTTCATTCTTTGTGTTTACTCATGCTACGCATTCACTCATCGCCTGCATCGCGAGACTTGAATGAGGCTGTTATTACATATCCTGATAATCCACCGCGATAATGCAATTAATTTAAACAAAAACGGTCATTCTTACCGTGTAAAAATTAACCCAGATTTACCGTAATATTGGTAATCATTACATCCCTAGTCCTCTGAGATATTTATATCGAGAGTGTGAGAATGTGCAACAAAGATAAAAAGGGAAGTTCAATGATGCAACTGGACGACAGCAGAAGAGAACATGGGTGGCATGTCGGTTGTAAAACCAGAGGCCAAACCACCATCACAAAACTGTTTGACAACATTTTGAGACATTTTGAAAGATATGTAACATGACTTTAAAGTAACAGAATTTCAAATGTTGACAAAAAGGTGTGAGTGAATTCAAGTCCAGATGTTACTGAGCAGCCATTATGTTGTCTTCTCTGTGCAGGCTGATCCTGAAGATGGTGTTTCCTACGCCTCCATCAGCTACACCAAGAAGACCAACAGTAAAGCCCAGGTGAGCTGTCTGACTGGTTACACTGGTGATATACTGATGTTGTTTCATTGCTGAGCATTGTGTTGTGTTTATGTGGTGCTGGATATCATTATGCTGCATTTACTTGCACTATTCTGTAATTTCATGTTGTGTTATTAATGTGTTTGTCTTTTGTTTTCCAGGTTTTGTTTAAAGATGAAGATGATGCAGTGACCTACAGCACCGTGAAAGCTTCTTCTTCTTCTGCTGGAGCCTCTGCTGATCTCACTAACCTCTACGCTACCATCAACAAACCAAACAAATAAGAGAGCACAGTTTAGTTACAGCTCATATCTTTACAGTTATTTTACATTGACTGGTTGCTTGATATGGAAGAAAGACATTTATATGGGATAAACAAATGATTGGCTCTTGGTCAGGAGATGTGTGCACATTGTTCTATAACTGGGTTTTGTGAGGAATTTTTATATATATTTAATCTAAAAATCAAAGATCATTGTTTGCCCTTGTCAGTGTGAAAGTGATATATATGTTTATATGTACATATACATATATACTTCATAGCATTTTCAGAGTGCATTGCTGCAAAAAGGTTTTTGTCCAGAAGGGGGCGCAGTAGGTTAAGTAGTAGCACAATAATCCAACCTTACATGGCAGCTGGAAATGTAAGTGTTCATAATACATGTTAATATGTGCTGTCAGTCACTTTAATGTGTCTGTATCTGTGTTCAGTTTATCTTTTATTTCATGGTATAAAAGTAATTAAAGCAAACTAACAGTAAGAAACATCTTGACTGAGTCACTTTTGAGAGTCGAGTTAAACAGCTGAATGAGAGGAAACTGTTTTAAACTGTCACTGGTGTTCATTTAGAATACTTCAGGTCAGTGTGAGCTTCATACCAGCTCATGTCGGCCATGAGTGAGGGAGGTAAAAGCTGATGTCATCTGCCCACATGAAGGCAACAAGTGACCAATGAGAGAAAAGAAGGATGATGGTTATGATGAGGAAGTGCCACTTTAGTAATTAGAGGAAGTAGTTACAAAATTTGTCTTTAAGAAGCAGCTTGCTCAGAGACTTACAGGTAGAAGAAGCAGAGAGAGACAGAGAGGCACGATGACTGAATTCAGATGGATTAAAATATCTTTATTTCTGTTGCTGATGCTTCAGTTTACAGGTAAGTATTCATATAACATATATGAATGACGGAAACATTTCTAAAAAGATATTTATAGATATCATCAATGGTGAATAGTGAGTTTAGTGAACTCTTGGAAAATGATGAGGCACATATGCAAACTTTGAACACTGACATTAATATTCATATATTTATTTATTATTTTATTCTCTTTATTCTTCATATTTTCTCTCATCTTCTCAGCAGCAGGACAGCTTTTCCGCTCCCTCACTTTTAGAGTTGGAGATGATGTCACTTTGTCTTGTGAAAATGTGATAGATGATCAGAATAACTGTGACAGTACCGTCTGGCTCTTCAGTGAATCAAGAAGCACACGGGCAGTAGTGCTGGTTTATCTTGGGAAGACTGCTGAAGAAGCTAAATCAGACAGACTGAGTGTTACAGCAAACTGTTCTCTGGTTATAAAGAAGGTCACAGATGAAGATGTTGGACGTTACGGCTGCAGACAGTTCAGATCAGCAAAACAACAAGGTCAAGATGCTGTGGTTGAATTGTCTGTTGTTACCAGTGAGTATTTCCATCATAATGTTTCAGCTCAAACTGTCTTGTTAGAACAATATACTGAAATATTACAATAATTATGATTACAGTGATGAAGTTAATTTTACTCTCAAAATATCTCCATCTTCACCAGTGACTGAACATAACAACGCTGATGAGGTGACGTTAACCTGCTCTGTGAGGACATATGAACGATGTACACACAAAGTGAAGTGGCAGGGTCAAGATGTGGCTGAAGATGATCAACATATGAGGACCTCACAGTCTCCCTGCTCTGCCTCTGTGACCTTTCTGACTTCTTTCTACATTTACACATCAAGATATAAGTTATTTAAATGTGCAGTGACTGATGGTGACAGAGTGCAGGTGTTTCCCTTCAGATCTCAATTCTCAGGTGAGAAACCAGGTGAGAACATGAATGTGAAAGATATTTAAAGTCACGTAAAACTGATGTACATAGTCACCTAAAACATCTGTATTTTATGGATTTGTGGTTTTAATATCACATCACAACAGTTTGTTGAGATGTGTTCATCTGTTCAGGTGAGGACACAACAATAGCAACAACAGAATCAACAACAAAAACAACTGGAAACAGCATAAAAGCAGGTACCAATGATGCTTCATCAAAACGACAAGGTAGTGTCTCAACATTTTTATATATCTTTATAGTTTTTTTTAAATTGCAGACTTGTGGGTGTACATCATTGTGGCTGTGGCTTTAGCAGCACTCTTAATACTCATTGTGGCAATCATCGTATGGAGGAGAACTAAAGGTGAGAGAACAGATAGAAACAAGTTTTAATGAAACTGGATTTTCTCTGTTGAAGCTTTTATTAATCTCATATTTTGTCTTTTCAGGGAACAAAACACAGATGAGTGACACTATTGTGAGTTTAAAACCTGATCTTCACTATACACTTTGACTCTATCTGAGAAATTAGAAGATGAGATAAACATTACTCATTGTGTTGTCTTAAAACTAAGTGGTTGCAGCAGCAAAGAAAGTGATTGAGAGGGATTACAGGTTAACTTGAGTGTTTTCCAACCTGGACACTATTTCCCAGGTTGTTGACCTTTTTGTTAAAGAGTAAGAACCTTTTTGTTTAACCAAAAACAAGCCTGAAATCGCTACTGCCTAACCCACCAGAGTCCATTTCAATACATAGTAATGTTATCATTATAAAAGAAACGTCATTGAAAGTCAACAGAAACAAAATGAAACTCACAAAAAACGTCTTAGTTCATCTTTTCACTGTTCCAACAATGGCCAAATTGAGCATAGTGTTAGTTCAGGCAGGACACTATGTCAAGCTCAGCCCACATCCAAGCTACATCAGCTGATCCTAAACAGCCGAATCAACTGATGGAGCAGCTGACTGATGAAAGGGAGTCAGCTGATAGATCACATGATTCCTTTCTATGCAATCAATTGGCAAATCTCATTCAGGGCGCCCTATTTAAACTGCTCTGACCTGCCTACTGTTGCTGCTTCCTCTGCAAGCTGCTTTGCAACCTGCCTCCACCCCAGCTCCTCCTTTTCATGCTGTGTCTGACTTATCAGTGTCATTTCTGTTTGTCGTTGATGCTGCTCTGTTCTGTTCCCAAGGGTTCTTTGCTACTGCTCTCCCTGCCTTAGGCTTTCCATGTAGGCGCATTGAAGGGCAGGGAGGTTTGCTCTCTCTGCCTCAGGCTTTCCTCATTTGCACACGGAAGGGCAGAGAGTTGTGCTTTCTCTGCCTTATGGTTTCCACGAAGGCACGTGGAAGAGGCTTTCTGCATAAGCCAGAGGAAAGGCAGAGGGGCCCCAGAACAGAGCCATACCGCCAAATATAATACTGCAAATGGAAATAAAGTTTTCTTTGACAAAAGTGGTCCTGACTGAACTCAGGTTTGGTTGAAATAAACTGTTAGATCGAGCCAGTCAGATGTGAAAACATGCTGGCTCTATTCACACGAAAATTATTGTTTATTTAAATGGAGTCTGGTGGGTATGGTAATAGCGATGTTGGGGCTGTGTCTGTTTAAATAAATAGGATCTTACTCTTTAACAAAAAAGTTGGCCTCTGTAGGGATCCTTTCCATAACGTTGTCAGACACTTAGAATAACAGCCTGAGCCTGTCACTGGCAAAAACAAGAAGTTTTAGTGGATGTTAATGACGGCGCACACATGCCGTGTTGCTGCTGGCTGCAGCGGTCTCACTCAATACTGAGTGAAGAAGTGTTGTCTCCATTTGTCACTTAGACACAAAAACATGGGAAAATAGGGTCCAGGTTGAAAGATACTATAGGTAACCTTTAATTGATGACACTCTTGCACAGTGTCAACAAAAATTGAACATTGTAAGCCTCATAGAGTATTTGTGGTGATGTATTGGACTGCATGCAAGGCAACTTTAATTTATCCACTAGTCTGATGTCGTAGATTTGAAGATATTTTTACACTCCCATCACATTAGCTGAAAGCTGCACATATGCATTATATACATGCCACATGTGTTGTTTGTATTGTGACCACCTGACAGCATGCACACTGACATTTTTCATTGTCCAGGGGCTGACTTCAAACCCTGCAGTGACTCAGGCTGCTCCAGAACCCAGCCAGGGCACTGTGAGATCACACACCCAGTACAAAGTAACACTCAGTGAAATGGGTTTGTCTTCTGAGATATTTATATCGAGAGTGTGAGAATGTGCAACAAAGATAAAAAGGGAAGTTCAATGATGCAACTGGACAACAGCAGAAGAGAACATGGGTGGCATGTGGGATGTAAAACCAGAGGCCAAACCACCATCACAAAACTGTTTGACAACATTTTGAGACATTTTGAAAGATATGTAACGTGACTTTAAAGTAATAGAATTTCAAATGTTGAAATGTTGTCTTCTCTGTGCAGGCTGATCCTGAAGATGGTGTTTCCTACGCCTCCGTCAGCTACACCAAGAAAACCAACAGTAAAGCCCAGGTGAGCTCATTGGCTTTACTTGTAATGTTTGTCAGTGAAGAAAAACAATATGTTGAACTGTATAACATTGTGTGCTGTGTTTTATTGTGCTTCTTCTGTCTTGTATGTTGCATTGTATGGTTCATTAATGCTTCTCTGCACACATGGGCACATTATAAGACAACAGGCCTCTGGGCACAGACATGCAAAAGGCCCCACCACCTCTCCTGTAGCAGCAAGACACGGACTTTGTGCTGGTTTTGCTTCTTTTTGTTGTTGCTGTTTTGCATCTCTTGTAGCTGTCAGCATTTTTTGTGGTTTTATGTCTCTTTGAGGTCATTTTGTTATTTATTTCCCTTTGATGTTGTATTGTGTCTCGTCATAGTCATTTTATGTCTCTGTAAGTCCTTTGCATCTCTTTGAAGTCATTTTCTCTCTTTGGAGTTGGTTTGTGTCTCATTGGAGTAGTTGTGTGTCTCTTTGTAGTTCCTTGCATTTCTTTGTGGTCATGTTGAGTCTCTTCCTGGTTGCTACCTGTTAATTACAGGGACATTTAGCAGGTGAAGACACCAGGGGATCCCCTGACACTTTAGGTGCCTGAGCCTGTGCTCAGTAGGCCATTGCTGTTTGCACTGTCATCTTTTATAGTGTCATAGTGCATTACTGTGATGGGTTAGACTGTGCCATGTCCTGTTGTGTATTTTACATTGTATTGTTTCCTGTCAGGTTCGGAGTAAATATGATGACGATGACGATGCAGTGACCTATACCGCTGTGAAAGCTTCCTCTGCTGATCCCAACAGCCTCTACGCTACCATCAACTAATCGAACAAAACAAACTCATGTCATCAGGTCTTTTCTAATCTCCGTTAATATCTATTTTCAAATGATCATTTTCAGTGTGGATCATTGTAAATAACGTCCTGTACAGAAAGAGATGTAGTTAACTAGTGGTGCAATGTTAAAAGGGAGGTAATAACTCAACATGTGGTTGCTTAAAATGTAAATGAGCATAATATATGACACATTTTGCTTGATGAACTAGCTGTCGTGCACTTTATTGTGCTCAGTGCATGGTCTTATTTTATAGTGTATAGAAATATATGGCAATGTTTTTGTTTCAGTTACATGTATTTCCTATAATTATTTTATATGCAATAATGTATCCATGTTGGGCAATTTTATGTGTTTTCTCATGTTGTTTTTCTTTATTTTCATATTTTCATCTGTTATTGTTTGATATGTAATTATCTGAACATTTATGTCTCATTTTATTAAAGTACTCAAAGTAAACTGAAAGGAGGTTTAAACAACTGGTTGAATGACAATTGTGGAAATTCCAAAAGTAACTTTGAATCATATGAAGATGTGCACATAAGAATTAGATTAAAAAGGATGAGAGTAATAAGGAAGTGATACTGATCACAGGAAGTAGACAATTTAAAAAACAAGAAGTGCAGCAAGTCTTAAAAGTTTAAGAACAGCAGAGGAAAGAGAAGCAGAGATGCACAATGGTTAAGGTCATGGAATAACTAGGTTTTGGCACAAGGATCTCATGTGCAAAACTGAGCTGTAATGGTCAGTTAAATGCCTAATGCTGCTGTAGTGCCACCTATTGGTTAAATACCATAAAAGTTTGCAGCACAGAGTTAATGTGTACAAGCATAGGTGTAGATTTCAGAGAGGATGCAAGGGGACACATCTCCCTCAGTCATTACAGCATGTGCATTTTTGCCCCCTATAGACACATGAAAGCAGCAGAGGACTTTTATTTTGACAAATTAAAGACATTTACACAATAAACTAATGTAGAAAAGGCACAACTTAACTAGAATACAAGAAATGTGTTTCATATGTGTCTCCACCAGTGTTGAAACAAAACCTATGCCCTTGCATACCAGTTATTTAGGCTAAATTTTGTGATGGCAGTGAGGAATAGGACCCAAAATGCAGACACAGAGGGAAGAGGGTTAACAGGTTTATTGTGTCAGAATTGTGCAGAGAACTGAGGAGATCCGGAGTCAAGGTGCAGAGTGAGGAAACCAGGTGAGAGTGCTGGGCTGTGGGCTGCTGAGAGGCACGGAGGGAGACACTGGAACAAAAAGGCAGGAGAACGAGGGTTAACACACGAGGAGCAAAAACACCATCAAACTTGCAAGACACTTAATTCACTGGAGGATCAGAGGAGCCGAGATACCACTGCGTGCAGAAGCGAATACTCTGGCACTGAGGCTAGAGACGGTGGCAGTCTTTACAGCCCGTTGTTTGCCGATGATTCACAGGTGTGCGCACTCAGCCTCAGTGCAGTGCGGGGGAAGGGAGAAGCCTCTGGAGACAGGCAAACACAGCAGCAAACAACCCACACAGGAAGTAGACTCCGGAAATGTTCATAAAATAAAAGCCAAAAGTCCATGCTCACCACAAAATTTGGCAGTAAGGGAGGAAGTATCATTTATTTAAGTAAGAGAAGCAAAACCACATACTCCACTAAAACAACAGTAGACATTTACTTACAAGTAAAAGTTTAACCTAAGTAACAGAACATATGTAGGCAAAATGTTAGTTACAGCTACATTATTATATATTTTACTAATGGATTATTTTATTGATGCATTAACATATTGTAAGCAACACTTCCATGTTAGTTGTGGTGGAGCAAAATCTACCAATTTTGTATAGAGTTGGGCGTGTTAATTTACTGTGCAACAATTAATTGTATTTTATATGCTCATTATAGATTTTTAAAATCTCACTCCACAAAGTAAGTATAGCAAGTACTATATAAGTGCTTCTGAACTGTACTTAACCCATTTGTGCCCAAATTTTTCTCAATGTTTTTATGCATATAATCATGTTAACTGAGTCCCATATGAACATGTTCTAAAGTTATTTCCTCCATTTTGTGCTCTCTGTTCTAGAAAATTTCATTTGAATGTTCGGCAACTATAGTTGCCGGTGGGCACATACCTTGTATCTACCCCTCTAATGGTGAAAAGTGAATTAGAGCACAAAAAACAACATGTAATTCAGCTGTCTTTATTGAGAAAGACTTTTATTATTTAAAACAAGTGTGAGAACAATTTAATTCATGAATTTTGTCATCAAAAAACTTGGAAACGCCAAAATTCGAATTAATCCCCTGATTCGCACAAACTAAAATACACTCGCTATAACCGGGTTTTGGTTGATAAGAAAAAAACGTTGATTCGCAAAACAGGGGATGGAAACAGTTATGTTCGAATTAAGTCTGACGTAGCGCACTTTCACCTCAACTGCTTCCGGTGTTTCCGGTTCACTGACAAGGCAAAAACATTGCGGAAAACAACAACACAAGACTTGTGTGGATGGAGGACAAAATAAGAACATTTCTAGCCTTAATAAGTAGTGATGGGCAAATGAAGCTTTTGTGAAGCACTGAACCACTTGAGCCAATTGTTTCGAAAAAGGGTTCATTACTCGAAGCTTCAGTTACAGTGACCTCTCCTGGCGAAGTGCAAGGCTGCAATCAAATTAGGCAGGCTAGTTGGTGGACAGGAGGTGTTTAATTACACACACACACACACACACACA